ACTTTGCCAGAGTACAGACATCTCTGTGGTCAGAAGCAGAACCTTGAAATATAGGAGATAAATTATTACTAGATAAAATTTAAATTTGACATAGTTTTCCTCTTTACATTTTATTATGATATAATAATTTGTTTACAAAATGCTAACTTGCATTTGCTTTGGTCTTGAATATTGCCTTAGGTAGAGATTTGCAATTTTTTTTGATGTTTAATATATTAAGTTAATATAAATTTGTCAAGGCAAGTGCTTTGTTTTTTTTTTGTTTTTTTTTTTTTGTCTCAAACACTTATTTAAAAGTTTTTAGCCGGGCGTGGTAGTGCACGCCTGTAGTCCCAGCACTTGGGAGGCAAAGGCAGGTGGATCTCTGTAAGTTCAAGGCCAGCCTGGTCTACATAGTGAGTTCTAGGATAGCTGGGGCTACAGGGGAGACCTTGCTTTAAAAAGACAAAAATAAAAGTTATTTAGGAAGCTGGGCATGGTGTTGCACGCCTTTAATCACAGCAGAAATTGGTGGATCTCTGTGAGTTCAAGGCCAGCCTGGTCTGCATAGCAAGTTCCAGGCCAGCTGGGGCTACAGAGAGACCCTGTCTCAAAAAAAAATAACAAAAAAAGTGATTTAGGTACACCTCAGTAATTAGTTTTTTGGTTCTTTTTTAAATTGGTTGGTCTTTGGTAGAGTGTTGGGGTTTCTTGAAATAATTTTAGATGCATAGAAAAGTAACAGGAGTATGTGTCCATACATGCTGTGTGTCCTGTACATGTCCTTATGTAACAAGTCCCCTGTGCTCATGGCACCGGGAGATGTAAACAGGAAGTCTGTACTGATGTTGTCTCTACCTGGGCACAATAAAATGGAAACAGAGTATAAAATAGATACTTCCCAAATTTTTACTCTTTATTCCAGACTTCCTGAAGCTAACTTGTGCTGCATTAGTAATTTGCTTTCCATGCACTTTAAAAATTTTTTTTTTTTTTTTTTTTTTTGAGAAAGTGTCTTCCCTGTAGCCCCAGCTGGTCTGGAACTCGCTATATAGACCAGGCTGGCCTCATACTCATAGAGATCTTCCTGCCTCTGCCTCCTGGAGTGCATTTCACTTTAAAAACCCCTGTTGAAAGTGTGTTTTACAGGAGTGTGTTGATAGCTCCTTTATTCCTTATTGAAGATTTCCATGCCCTTTGCTGATGCTTCTGCAGGTTAACATGGACTGCTTAGAATCTTCTGAATCTTGGTGCTTTCCTTTATGAGTGATAACAAAGACAATTTTGGAGAGATGGCAGGACCTCACTCCATACTGGCCTTGAACTCAGTGATCCTCCTTCCTCATGTTGTCTGCTTTAAAATGATGTTCAGTACTTGTGTTTTCTAGCAGAAATTAATGTTGAGTAGTTTAGATGCTTTCCTATACCAAAACACAGAAATACACACCTATCCAATAAGATTAAGAACTTTTAATTTCTTTTTTGAAAATTTCTTTTTGTTGTGATATTTTGAGACAAGATCTTTCTTATATAGCCCAGGCTGACCTCAAAGTTAGAATCCTCCTGCCTCGGTTTCCTAAAGTGCTGGCATTACAGGAATATAACACCATACCTGAGATGAACGTTTCTTGTTTAGATAAATGCAATAACTTTTGAAAAAGTAAAAATCACTATCAAATATTTTTTAGCCACTCAGATAGTTTTAGAAATTGGCCACTTACGAGAGTAGTTTTAGTTTCATTAACTTTTGCCAGCTACCTTTTAAAATAGACTTTCCTGCCTTGGAATAAGCTAGTTTTTACTGTTATTCTCTTTTTTATTATGCTCATTATATAGGCCAGTTACTATAATGCTTTCTGTTTTGATCTTTAGAATAGTGAGCCTCATGGTTGAGGGGGATCAAGTAAGTACCATCCTCTTTAAAACTGAAGCTATCAAGGATTGACTTTCAAACCCTTGGCAGAAAGAGCCCTTTTTTTTTTTTTTAAGATTTTAAAAAATATTTATATTTTTATGTGTATGAATATATTGCCTGCATGTATGTGAGTGCGCCCATGTCGTGCAGTGCCGTGGAGGTCAGAAGACAGCATCAGATTCCCCCAGAACTGGAGTTAAGGATGGTTTGTAGCCACCATGTGGGTGCTGGGAATCGAACCTGAGTCCTCTGCAAGAGCAGCCAGTGCTCTTAACCGCTGAGCCATCTCTCCAGCCCCCTTAAGACATTTTTGATAAGATTTGGATCTCTTGATTTATTGGGAAAATAAGTCTTAAAACTCATAATTGAAAGTAAAAATAAATTCCAGCTGGTAGATTCCTAGTTGTGATTTAGCAGATACATAATAGAGATGACAGCAGAGACAAGGAGTGTCAGAAGCCAAGGAGGCCCCCTGTGCTGCAGGCGCTGAGGCATCTGGAGGTACCTGCTCTTTGAGGAGCACTTCACCAGGGCCCTGCTATGCTTCCCTCAGATTAACCCTCTCCTTCCTTGCTGTCAGATACTGCTTCTTGCTGCCAATGAGTCCATCTCAGTCCACGTTCTTCCTCTTCGTTACTGTTCTGCTTCAAATCTTCTGTATGCTCAGTTGATCTCTTAAAAATGGGTCTCAAGTAAGAGCAAATTGGTTCCATGGAAAGCTTTGTGTAGTGTTAGTATCTGAGACTTTAATAACACACGGGACCAGTAAGGCCTTTTTTTCTGATTATTTGTTTCCATGTTTTGTTTTCTCAGCTATTTTACGAACTAAGATTCCTAGATCATTTCCTTTGGAGAGGCGAAAGGCCTCTCTCTTTTAAAAATGTATTTATAGTGTGTCTGCATGCATGTGGAAGCCAGAGTACAAACTGCAGGAGCCAGTCGTGCCCCCCACCCCCGCAAGTTTTTTGGTTCTATGTTTGCATGTTTTGCCTGCATGTGTGTTAAGTGCACCTAGGTGTGCGGTGCTCTCATTAGCCAGAAGAGGGCATCAGATCCCCTGTAACTGGAGTTAGGGATGATTGTTAGCTGCTGTGCAGGTGCTGGGAACCAAACCTGGATCCTCTGTAAGTATAGTCTGTGATCTTAACCACTGAGCACTCTGGCCTCCAGCCCCAGTTCTTTTTTTTCTACGTTGTGGGTCTTGGGGGTGGAATTGAGGTCATCAGGATTGGTTGCAAGTACTTTTTTTTTTTAATTTTTTATTTTATGTGTATTCGTGTATTGCCTGCATGTAGGTAAGTGCATGCATGTCGTGGTGCAATGCCCGTGGAGGTCAGAAGAGGCTGTTGGATCCCCTGGGACTGGAGTTACAGACAGTTAGCTGCCATGTGGATGCTGGGATTCGAACCTAGGTCTTCTGCAAGAACAACCAGTGTTTTTAACTGCTGAGCCATCTCTTCAACCCCTGGTTGCAAGTACTTTTACCTGCTGAGTCATTTTGCCTGCCCAGTTATTAAAGAGGACTAACTCTGTGTACATATATTTAATAAGAGGAAAAAATGAAGAACAGGTTGACAGATTGAAATTACACATTAAAGTGTGAACTGTGAAATATCTTGGAGTGTTAGAAAGCAAGGACAGGATTCCACCTTGTGGGAACTATTGTGATTTATACAATTTTCATACTTAGTAAGTCGGCCAAAGGCCATGATGCAATGTTGATTTGAGTCTATCCAGAAAGAGCTTATCCTCTGAACTACTGGCTTGTCACACCTACTATGCCACCATGGCTTCCTCTGTGCAGCTCTGTCCCAGTGCCCATGCTGTTGGTTCTGTTTCTATTTTGCTCCTCGTTGTTAGAAGTGCTTCAGTTTTTTGGAGTTGTTTTCAAGAATTTTATTCTGAAATAACTGCTTTGACTTTATTCATGAAAAAGAGAAAAAAGTGTGCTTTTAATTTTGTGATCCTGTTAAATCTGAAAATTATTTGGGCCAGGAAAAGCTTTCTCTGAGCCACAGTGTTTTATGTACAAGAGATTTGCTTCCAAAATGTCACATTTTAAGGTCATAATATTCCTGGAAAGTGGGAGCGTATGTATACACATCAAAGAAGGCATTTTTATTACATTGGATTATGCAACACTTTGGCCAGCCTCCTCAGCTTCATCTGTTTAAGGGTTCGTTTTCACTCGTTTGGCACAGATCCCACTAGAGGCCTTCAGAATTGTGGTTAGCAACATGAATGAATTACAAACTTTGGACCAGCTCTTCAGTTAGTAGAACTGGCTTCCTGCCAAGAAGACAGTGCCTTATACAGGGTCAGGGCAAAGCTGTGATTCATTGAGCCCTGCATTGTATAGGAAACATACTTGGGATGCCTGTTTGCTTTCTTTTAAAACAAAAAAACAAAACAAAACAAAACAGCACAAGCAGCAGGCTTCCAAGTCTATCAAAATAGGAAGTAACAAAACAGTTTGCAGGTTTTACTAATGACAGGGTTAAGCAGTGGAAAATGCCGCTTTGAATAGTTAAAGTGCTAGCATAGAAGTTGAACCTTCTGACTTCCTTTAGCCAACTTGTGATGTAAGAAACTGGAGCATTTCTTAGACATCTGTTGTCTACCTGCTCTTATTTTCTAAGTGGTTTAATAAGATTAAATTATTCCTAGGTCCACATGGTTGGCATTCCACTAGGGTTGGTGTCACCTGGATACTAGAAATGTACACTCCCATGAAAAAAGAGAGTTGGGTTTTTTTTTGTTTTGTTTTGGGTTTTTTTGGTCTTTTTGAGACAGGGTCTCTGTAACCCCAGCTGTCCTGAAACTCACTTTGTAGACCAGGCCGGCCTTGAACTCACAGAGATCCGCCTGCCTCTGCCTCCCAAGTGCTGGGATTAAAGGCATGCACCACCACGCCCAGCTGAGTTGTTGTTTTACTTCAAAGATTGACGTGTTAAAATATTAACAACAAAAATGACACTTTGCAGAAGGCCAGGAATTTCTGCTTGTATTCTGAGGCAACAAATAAAAAGTACTAAGCCTATAGAAGGAAAAACATTAAGATATTTTCCAGTCTAATTCATTAACTGTTGTACTTCTTATCATTTAGGCAAATACCCTTTCTGGACCTTCTCTTAGTCAGGCACCATCTCATATGTATGGCAGTAGGTTAAATCCAAATCCATCCATGGCAACTCTCATAGCTCAATCTGAAAACAGTCAACCAGGTAAGTTTCCACTAACTCATTAACCTAAAAAGTGTCTCCCCAGTGTAAAATTTCCCTGTATTGGTTCATTTTCTTTAAAAAAAAATCAACATCAACAAAAAAAACCCACCTGGTATGGTTAATAGAAAATTGTGATTTTTGTTGTTGTTGTTACTGTTACTGGTTTTTTTGTTTGTTTTTTTTTAAACCAAAAGAATCACAGGGGTAAATAATATGCTGTGCTGCAAAATAGTGATGTTTTTTAGTGTCTGAAATATAAATGTTTAAGCAAAGCAGGCAGGAATACCACAATGTCTCCTGTGACTTTTGTGATTGACGTCTTCAGTCCTCAGCTCTATGCAATGGAAGTAAGTAACATAACACTGGGCTTTGCTGTGAATAGCCCAAACCTTTATTTGCATAATTCATGAAATTGCATTACACAAACTTGGTTTTAAAATTCCTGTTAGAGAGTTGTGCAGTGTTTAGTGATCCTGTGAAGTTTGCCCTTGACATTTTCAACATTTGCCTCTTGTACTGTTTTTAATGAGTCACTGGATTTGCTTTGCTTCATTCCATCTTTAAGGATTTGTTGACATGTCCAAGTAGTCATGCCTGTTTGGGGGAAGGGACTGGGTCTAGCAGTTCACCGAGAATGGATCACTCATGTCTTTACCCTTCAAGGGTCAAAGGTTACCTGTCTCAGAATAAGAGAAGGCCAACCTTAAAAGAGGCCAGGGTGATTTTTATAAAGGACTAACTACAGGGAAAATACAAGTTAGTTTAAAACACCAAGAAATTTTCTTATATCAGGAATGTTTAGCAGGATTAAAATTTTCTTTTAAATACAGAAGCCTATATTTCTACTTATTTTTGTCCATTTGGAAATTTAGTGTTACATACTTTTATTCTTGATATAACAGTTTTAGTCTTGGTGTAAGGCTCTGTGGAAATGTATTTTGTTACTTGTCATGGCCTGCAAAGTGTTAAAAAATACAAAGCATAAGGATCTGCTGTGATAAGCATACAGATTAGCTGTCCACAGCTGTGATTCATTACTTTAACCTAGAAATTAAAAGTGGCTGAGGGGAGGGTACTGCAAATTCAAACCACACTTCTGTGCTGTAAAATTGAAAGGAATGAAAGAGCAGAAGATAATCCATGGCCTTCTACACCCACAAAAACGTGTAGGGACAACACTGTACATGCCACAGTTGAGCAGTTCTAGACTAGCAGCATGCTTGGGTTTCTACTTTCCTGGTGCTAGAAAAATGCTGGTAAAGATTTGATGCGCGTTTTAGGAAAACTCAGGGCAAGAGCTTAAAACCTCGTATCTAGTGAGAGAGCCACTTTATCAGTTCTGAAATATTCACACTGCAGATCAAGATCTTGGAGACAATAGCCGAAGTCTAGTTGGTCAAGGAAGCTCACCCCGAGGAAGCCTCTCTCCAAGGTAAGTGCTATTACACTGCAATGTAAAGCAAGGAAATTCTGTCATCTCAGATCAGTATGGTGTACATTTTTGAGGCTATAAAGAACATTCTATAGATAAAAAGCATGTCTAGACAGTCAAGAAAAATGATTCTAAATTTGGAATATTAATTTAAACACAGATTTCTAAACTAAAAGGAATACCTTTTCCTATATCTAATCACTTTGAGCTATTTATCATTTGTATATTTAACTTCTGATAAGATTGATTTGGTGGATAATTTTTGCTCATAAAATAATAATGCCTTAAAGATGTAAACCTGAGATTTCTGACTTGCATTCCAGCTCTGGGTGCCCCACTGTCTCCGAGGCTGCTTCCCATGTAGCACTCTTGTGGTCACTCCCTAAAATCCCTCTAATTCCTCTTGGATTGTTTGAAGCAGAGTTTTATCAGTTGTATTATATACTTTGTTAAATTATCTTAGATTGTTTTATGTGATAATTTGCTAGTACCATTCATCAGAAGGTGATTTATCAATGCGAGGTTATGGAATTGTATAACTTCTATTATAATGGGAGGAAAGGTGGTGTGAAATAGTGTTTCAGTTTATAGAAGGACCTGGAAATTAGTGGTGCCTGTCTTATTTTTATTCCATTTTCAACTTCTGCATCTTCTTCTACTTTTATTCTCTCTGATTTTATAAGCTCCACCTCAAACAGTAAACTAGGTGAGAGTGGAGAACAGGCTGAAAAAGTTTTGTCCTCAGACCTGCACTGCTCTGTCATTTGCAAACTGTCTGCCTATGAGCAAGTCACTAGAGCCGTGTCTTATTTTATAAGACAAAGTCAAGCATTCATAATTGTGTCCCAGTCCTTGTGTATCTCCCCCTAGTCCCTACCCAGTCCAGTGCCTTGAACATGCTAGGATAATGCTCTACTATTGCGCTAAATGCCCAAACCCTTTGTTTTCTTAATTGGAAATGGAGTCTGTAACCAGATTTTGACGTTGTACTAGGCTATCATGAAGACTATGTAAGGTAGAATCTCAGAAACTGGAGACCAAACATGACCCCATTTACTAATGTGAAACCAAAACTGGGCAAGAGAACATTGCCTGTTCATTTTCATACAAGTAATATATGTTTTGGAAAGGGTAACATTAATTTGAAGAACAAATCTAAGACAATTTAGTGATAGTTGTATAATCTACCCAGATTGCTTTAGCTTGAATGATTTTCCTTAGAGCTGAAAACTTGAAGCAGCCTTTCATTATTGACTCAAAATTATTATTAACATTTTCTTCTCACTGATATTTAGGACTTTGTTGGTTGTAAATGTCACCCACAGTATTATAGTTGTGTGGTGTTATTCTGATATCATATATGATTTTTGTTTTGTTTTGTTTTGTTTTTTTAAGTTGTTTTGAAACCAGTTCTTGCTATAGCCCCAGCTTGCCTGGAACTCACTATGTAGCTGAGGCTGGCCTTGACCTCCGAGAGATCCATCTGCCTCCCAAGTGCTGGGATCAAAGGCGTGGGCCACCACACGTGGCTAGATATCATATACGTTAAGGCAGAATGGAGAACTTTTCTCTCCTTGATATTTTTGTCTTAAAGATTTTTTATTTTTCTTTTATGTATATGAATGAGTGTTTGCCTACATCTATGAATGTGTATGCCACACGTGTGCCTAGTGCTCAGGAAGACCAGAAGAGAGCGTTAGATCCTCTGGAACTGGAGTTAACAGTGGTTGTGAGCTGCCATGTGGATGTTGGGAACTGAACCCAGGTCCTCTGTAAGAACAACCAGTGTTCTTAACCCCTGAACCATCTCTCCAGCCCCAATGATGGTTTTATAAGCTCAGGAATCTGATACTTCTGGCACAGGCAGTTTCAGCTTGTTGTTAGAAAACTTGTACACCATGTAAGAAACTCTAATGCACTCTGCTTAAAAACTTTCCCTTCTTTTTAACTTGAGAATTAATGCTTTCAACAGATCCCCTGTAAGCAACTTACAGATTCGCTATGATCAGCCAAGCAATAGCAGTTTGGAAAATCTGCCTCCTGTAGCAGCCAGCATAGAGCAACTTTTGGAGAGGCAGTGGAGTGAAGGACAGCAGTTCTTGTTAGAACAGGGAACTCCAAGTGACAGTAAGTATTCATTTTCTTGTCTTTAAAAATGGGTAGTCAGGCCAGGCATGGTGGCACATGCCTTTAATCCCAGCACTTGGGAGGCAGAGGCAGGTGGATCTTTGTGAATTTGAGGGCCTGGTCTACATAGTGAGTTCCAGGACAGCTGGGGCTACAAAAAGACCAAAACAAAAAAAAAAAAAAAAAAAAAAAAAGGGTAGTCAGGTAGATAAATAAATGAAGGGGTGCAAACAATGGAATTGTGGTACACATTTTATATAACACACAGAGAAGGTGTAGTGGTGTAGTTTGGTAGAACCAATTATACAATGCTACTGCTTCAACTTGAACCCTATCTTAAATTGTTATTAATAATATGCTCTTGGGCAAGTTTTTAAAAAATTCTTTAATCTTGGGCTGGAGAGATGGCTCAGCGGTTAAGAACACTGGTTGTTCTTGCAGAAGACTGGGTTCGAATCCCAGCACCCACATGGCAGCTAACAACTGTCTGTAACTCCAGTTCCAGGGGATCTGACAGCCTCTTCTGTCCTTGAGGGCATTGCATCACATGGGTGCACTTACCTACATGCAGGCAATACACTCATACACAGAAAATAATAATAATTTTTTTTTTTAATTCTTTAATCTTATTTGTGGACTTGGGAGTAAGGACGTAACTGTCATAGGACAGCTGTGAAAACAGACGACTTAGAAAATCAAAATGTGAAGAAGTGCCTTAAGTGCTTTCTGTCAGCCACTAGGTTCAGATATAAAACCATGCTGTTTACACCAGTCTTTTGTTGTTGTCTTTTTTTTTTTTTCTGGAGCTGAGGACCGAACCCAGGGCCTTGCACTTGCTAGGCAAGCACTCTACCACTGAGCTAAATCCCCAACCCCTTGTCTTGTTGTCAGCTTCTGAAAATACACAAACTTTGTCTTTTCTCACCTTAGTTTTTTTTTGTTTTTTGTTTTTTGTTTTTGGGTTTTGTTTTGTTTTTTTTGTCTTTTTGAAGCAGGGTCTCCCTGTAGCCCCAGCTGTCCTGGAGCTCACTCTGTAGACCAGGGTGGCCTTGAGCTCACAGAGACCCGCCTGCCTCTGCTTCCGGAGTGCTGGGATTAAAGGCAAGCTCGAGAAACACAACTTTTTAATAACCTAGAATGTTTGAAGTCTCCATCACTGTGGCCATGTGATAGCCATGCTCTGTATTGTCAGTTGGAAGTCCAAGTCTTGGGAGAAATTAACAGAATATCTAAGGTGATCAGGCAGGACAGAAAGCCTGTTTGTAGAAGATGTGACCTTTCTCCTGGAAGAGAAAGGTGCTGGGGACACATACAGAACCCCCTGTTGGGAACTGTAAAGATGAGTTGAGCAGTTGGGATGGCAGGCTTTCTGCCAGCTGTTTGGTCGCGTGCTCAGTTATTGTGATGGTTGCTATGGCTGTTGTTTGTGTTGTGATTGCTCTTGTTTCTGGAGCTCCCATCTAGGACTTTGTGCCTGCTGTAAGCACACCCTCTGCTGCTGGACTGCAACTCCAGGCCTGCTGTGCTTAGTTCAAATTGCAACTGATAAAACATGTGCCCTCTACTAAAGCAAAGGATATTGGTGTGACTGTTTCCTATTGTAAATATTATGCTTTTCTCATTGTCAGTATGACTTCATTAAAAACCATGGCAGGTACTTTGAAATTTAAATTATGCTTTATTTTGAGGAAAATAAAATGCCAACATTTTTCTCTGGAGGAATTACTTGAACCCAATGGTTTGTTTGGGGTTTTTTTTGTTTTTATTGGCAACAGAGTTTCCATATCGTAAATCTATGAACAGTCGCCCTTTGTGGGTATATGTGTTCACAGATAGGAACTTATATCTACATGCAGATTTAGGGATAGGCCTCAGTTATTTGTCTATTCTACATAACTCCCATGTTTCTACTTCCCTCTAAAGTAATTAACACTATGACCATAAAATACTTAGTTATGGGAGACGGCTTGTTTTTAATTAAAAACCACACAAATATTTGCTAGTTTTAGGAATGCTGAAGTCATTACACCAACTTCAAGTTGAAAATCGAAGATTGGAAGAACAAATTAAAAACTTGACTGCCAAAAAGGAACGTCTTCAGTTATTGAATGCACAGCTTTCAGTGCCTTTTCCGACCATAACAACAAATCCTAGCCCTTCTCATCAGATACACACATTTTCAGCACAGACTGGTAAGTATGCAAGTATTTGTTTTGTGTCCTAAGAAAATGGATAGACTTTTAATGTCCTTCCGTAGTATGCAATGGCTGGGCATGGTGTGAAGGTGTGGGGAAGGAATGGCTATTGCTCATTGACATCGGCAGCTCCATTAACTGACTTTGATCTCACTCCCACTTCTTCAGTTTGTAGTTTACTGGTAAAATTTATTTAAACGTGTAATGATCTTGTTGATTTCAAGCTGTAGTATTCAGTAGAAATGCAGCACCCCTCCCCTCGTTTCAGTTGATCTTAGGCGCAGCATGACTGGGCTTCAGTCTTAAGTTTTTTTGTTTTTGTTTTTTAATATTTTATTTATTTTATGTGTATGAGCATATTGCCTGCATGTATGTAAGTGCACCCATATCATGCAATGCCTGCAGAGGTCAGAAGACAGTGTTGGATTCCCCTAGAACTGGAGTTATGGATGGTTGTTAGCCACCATGTGGGTGCTGGGAATCAAACAAGATTCTCTTACAAGAACAGCCACTGTTCTTAACTGCTAAGCCATCTCTCCAGCCCCAGTCTAAGTTTTAAATAGCCTTTAATCTCATGCATACTATACTTCAACAGGGCGAGTTTCTTTTACCTTTTACTATTCTAGCTCCTGCTACTGATTCATTGAACAGCAGTAAGAGCCCACATATAGGAAACAGCTTTTTACCCGACAGCTCTCTTCCTGTATTAAATCAGGTAATTTTTGTGGGTATATATTCATTTGTGTGTTTTACTTGGGAACATTAAGCGGTTTAAAATGATTTTAAATAGTTTTGCTCTGCCCTTCAGTACTTAGGTTTCTGTTCTTCTTACCTTAGGATTTGCCCTCCAGTGGACAGAGCACCAGCAGCTCCTCTGCTCTTTCGACTCCACCTCCTGCTGGGCAGAGTCCAGCTCAGCCAGGCTCTGGAGTTAGTGGAGTTCAGCAAGTCAATGGTGTGACAGTGGGAGCACTAGCTAGTGGAATGCAGACGGTAACATCCACCATTCCTGCAGTGTCTGCAGTGAGTGGAATAATTGGAGCTTTGCCAGGTAGCCAACTGGCAATTAATGGCATTGTAGGAGCTTTAAATGGGGTGATTCAGACCCCTGTCACAATATCCCAGAACCCCGCACCCCTTGCCCACACAAGTGTACCACCTAACACAGCACATCCAATGCCAGCAACCCTGACTAACAGGTGAGAGACTTACTTCATAATAACAGTGTTGTCCTTGTTCTGGATTGGTGTTTTTAATGTGTTTTTATAGATGTGCTCTACAAAAAAGTCAACCAGTACTTTTAAGCTAAGCATATGCTTGCTACTCGGTGTTTTTATTTTTGAGACTTACATAATTCCAATGAAAATAATCAGTTTCAAGAACATAATATTAAATATAGTCTGTGTTGAAAATGTCAGTTTTATCTGTCTATTTTAAATTAATTTTTCTTACTCTCTTGTATATTGCATACATATATCTTAAGTTTTGAAAAGAGAAGATACTAATGTGGTAATCACATGATGCTGGTTTCTTAAGATTTAACTGTAATTTTGTTGATTTTTCTAATCAAAGATTTTGATGGAGTGAGGGATAGATAATTAGCTTGAGTTTCCAGAAAGTGATGAGACACACTGGCTCCTTGAATGAGATTTTCATTTGAATGTTGATTTAAAACAAGAAGACTAAAGCCTGGTTGTTAAACATACTTTGGGAGAATAACTTTGATATGAACGTGTATTAGTTGTTACTAATGACTTTTCCTTTCATTGAAGCTTAATTTTACTGACCATTGGGACTATTTAAAAAAGACAAGGTCATATCAATGAGTCTACTTCTATTTTTTGTCTTTTTGTTTTTGTGAAATTAGCACCATGCAGGCTGGGCTGAGATAGGGAAGTGCTCTCTCTTTCTTAAATGCTTATTATTATTGTATGCTAAGTTGTCCTTGAATAATCAAAAAGAAATTATTATATATACTTCATCATAAACAGATTCTGTTTTGAAGTGTTGTAGTTGAAAACCTGTTAACTTATTAAATACCAAATGAAGAAACTGTCTTTTGTTTCACACGTTGACATACAGTAAACAGTAAAAATTGTCATCATTTTTCAGTGCCTCGGGACTAGGATTGCTTTCTGACCAGCAAAGACAAATGTTTATCCATCAACAGCAGTTTCAGCAGTTGTTAAGTTCTCAACAGCTCACACCAGTAAGTTCCTTAATATTTTTATCAGGATTGTATTTTTGACTATAAGCCATGTTCACTGTAGCTGTGGATTCTTCCTTTGAAAATATAATCCAAAAAGGTTTTTGCCATTGACATAACTGTAGTGTCAACACATTTGTTGATAAACTTATAAATATTAGAATATGTGTTATGGAGCCATTGAAGGCTCTGGTGATTGGAATCTAAGTCTATTTTCATGACACTTCATTCTGGTGGAAAGTAAGCACATCATGATGAATGCCAGTAAGAAACATAAGATGGGATGGGGTCTGAGGACTGAGGTGAGGGCCACTACCTACTTTGTGGTGTTGGGAGAACTGAGGGCCTCACATATGCTAGGCTTGCTGGGCTGCCATTCTACTCTTGAGCTGTGCCCCCCAGCCCTACTTTAGTAGATAGGCTGACGTCTGAGCCCATTACTCTGTCACCTAGCTTTAGTAGTTCAGTTGTGCTATTCTTGATCCATTCATCCCCTGATTTTCTTAAGATTGTTTTAAGGATTCATTGGAAGCTGGGCGTGGTGGCGCATGCCTTTAATCCCAGCACTAGGGAGGCTGAGGCAGGTGGATCTCTGTGAGTTCAAGGCCAGCCTTGTCTACATAGTGAGTTCCAGGCCAGGGGCTACAGGGAGACCCTGTCTCAAAAAGACCAGAAAAAGGAAAAAAAGAATTCATTGGAGAGATCGCTCAGCGATTAAGGGCACTGGCTGCTCTTGTAGAGGACCTGGGTTCAGTTCCCAGCACCCACATGGCAGTTCACAACCACTGTTAACTCCAGTTCCAGGGGATCTGATGCCCTTTGTGGCCTCCCTGGGCATTGTATGTGTGGGTGCACTTACATACATGCAGACAGAACACTGAGACACATGAAATGAATAACCAGGGAGCTGTTAGCAGGACACTGCTGTCCTAAAGTACCGTTGTCCCTGGAGAGAAATGGTAGTACTGTGAAGTATTTTCTGGTAAGACCCAACAAGAAAAAGCAGAATCCTGAATATTTGGATATCAGCTTTTACAGAAATATGGAAGAACAGAAGGAAACCAGTCTTTGTTAGAACATAGTGATTCTGTTATGGATATACAATTCATCCTCTGGATCCATGGGCTCCCCACCTGTGGATTAAGTCAGCTGCAGATCGGTAATATTTGAAAAAAAAACTTGCACCTGTACTGAACATGTGTAATCTCTTTTTTTTTTGTCATTCCCTAAACAGCACAGTATAAACAGTGCCTGGCGTACAATCAGCACCCAGGAAATATATGTTTAATGCTTGTTAAGAAAAGAATCCATAACTGTATCAAGAAAGCACACTCTTAAGAACAGATGGCAGCTTTTAGAGATGTTTGTGCAGAACTATGGCAGGGTTTGACCCATGTGCTTCATTTTAAAGCAGTTAGTCATAGCTTCTAATGTTTCTGTACTGCCGTCCTCTCTGTTCATCATAGACAGTCCCATTTGCATTTAGTTGCTGTCTTTTGAAAACATTCCCAGATGGCGCTGGGCATTTACAGTAAGTAGGTATTACGTAGTGCAGTTGCTTTTCTACACAAGGCTCTTATTTTCTTTAGTGTGAATGTGACTTACATTTAAATAATAGTAAAGAAATAGAAAAGGCAGGCTTTGCACACTGTTAGGTCCTGTGGCTGAAGCTCGTCTTCTCTCCCATTTCTGCTGAAGGAACAGCACCAGGCCTTCCTGTATCAGCTAATGCAGCAGCACCACCCACCAGAGCTGCAGCAGCTGCAACTCTCTGGGCCTGCTCAGATCCCCATCAACAACCTCCTTGCAGGCGCTCAGGCACCCCCACTTCACACGGCCACCACCAACCCCTTCCTCACCATCCACGGGGACAGCACAAGTCAGAAAGTCACAGTAAGTATGTGTTGTGTCATGCCTGTGGATACAGGGATCTTAGCACAGAGACTGGTCTCTTGCTTCCTTTTTTCCCAAACATCATTTCTCTGATTTTTTTTCTTAAGACCAGTTGTTTTAGCTGCTTGTGGTAGTGCACGCCTTTAATCCCAGCACTCCAGGTGGCAGAGGCAGACAGATCTCTGTGAGTTCAAGGCCAGCCTGGTCTACATAGTTCAGTCCAGCTGGGGCTACAGGGAGACCCTGTCTCAGAAAGACTGAAACAAAAAACAACAGCAACAAAAAACCGCAGTTGTTTCAGCAGCTGTATATTGAGGGCCTAAGCCAATTTACATGTCCCTCAGGTATATTGTTTTGAATTTTCATATAAGGTTTGAAGGCCAACACAGCATTTTCCAAAATGAAAAATGTATCAGCTAGTAAGATGTATGGGATAGCCCTCTCAAAATGGTTGATTGCTTTTTTAAAAGAAACTTTGTATAATTTGGCTAGTTATAAAACTATGTAATTTAGATATATTTTGTTACTTTGTTCAAAGTGTGTTTTAAAATAGTTACATTTATTATATGAGAACATACATTTTGGAGTAGTAATCCAACTATTCTACCAGATTCATTGAAAAGGTAAATTGTGGGGGGCTGGAGAAAAGGCTCAGTGGTTAAGAGCACTGGCTGTTTACAGAGGACCTGGGTTTGACTCCCAGCACCCACATTGCAGCTAACAACCACCTGTAACTCCCAGTTCCAGGGGATCTGATGCCCTCTTCTGGCCTCTGTGGGCACTGTATGACATGGGTGCACTTACATACATGTAGGCAATTGACTCATACACATAAAATACAAAAAATAAAATATTTTCTTTTTAAAAAAAAAAAGGTCAAAGTTCAAAGAACACACAGCAACTGTGGGGTTAGAACTATGGCTCTCTGGATCCGTAAAACTTCATTATTGGCAAGACTTTGGAAAACTGGATCTGGGAGGATGATGTCTAATTCTTTCCTTAGGCGTTGATCTGCAAGTGGCACACTGTGTCTCCTCCTGCCTTTGCATAGTGCTAGATGTAAGGTTTCTAAAGTATTATGAAATTCATATGTTTATATTATGCTGATAAGTAGCCAACTTAGAGAAAAATCATAACCATATAGCACATTTTATCTCCATCAGTTTCATTTCAATTAAGAACTTACCATGTCATGCTTTGGCTAATTGAGCTTATGCACCTGATTTTGTTTCAAACTGCAGAGACTTAGTGATAAAGCTGGGCCTGCAGCTCAAGAGAAAAGTTGACACTTGGAAGCATCTGAGAGTGGCCTGTCCTGCTGTCCTGGCCCTTCACCCGGCTGCCCCGCAGTCCTCTACTACAGCTGTGAAGACATGCACCAGGAGGCTGCACACGAAGGATGCCTCCAGCATGTGCTTGTAAGGCTTGATGAATTTTCTTGTTGCTTCGTTGCACTGAAATGGAATTCCTTTACCCCCACCCCTAACCAAAGTATTTGAACTTTGGAAGAAAAATTAATAACTAACTTGTTTTTGTCAATGAAATAATTTACATGCAATGAGTTTATCAACCCCCAAAATTTAGTATACTTGGTGCACAATTAACTTTGTTACAAATTGGAGACACAGTAAAACTAAAGACCTGCTCCATTTACAAATGACTTGGTTTTATTGTAAAGGTTGGAATATGAAATATTATCTTCTTTGACTTCAAGTGTACTTGCTCCATGAGTCAGATCTGAAATTTCAAGAACTGTCCAATTTCTGCTCCTGGTATTCATTATTATTATTACTGTGACTATATGGGTCATTGCAAACTTTTTTTTTTTTTTAGACAACCTCATTTCTAATGAGATTGTTTTTTTTTGTTGTTTTTTTTTTTTTTTTTAAAAAAAAAGAAAAACAAACCTCATTTCTAATGAGATTTGGCCATTTGGTAATCAGATTAAGATAGAAATGTCTGCTTCTGCTAAAGGTAATTTTCTTTTGCTAAAAATGTTTTTTCTTTAGTATTAAGACCTTAGTCATATTTAAAGAAATCTTGAGTTAAGCGAATTCTAAGTCTGCTGGGAGAACCAGATCAACTCGACGTGAACATTCTCCTTCAGAAAGAAACACCAATTTGGAAATTGCTGATGGGGTCTGGCTTTAGTCAAGTGCCTGTTGGGGCCTCCCTGGGTTGAAAGGGCTCTAGACAAGCAGAACTCCAACTGGTCAATCCTTGGGGGTCACAGGAATAGGCCGCCTGTGCCAGCAGCCAGACCCGTGCCTCTGCCTTTGTTGAAAACCTTCTATGCCACTGTAGATAGCTCAGGCAAAACAGGTACCTGGGATTTGTCCACTAATGAGTCACAAGAAAATGAGTGGCTTTGGTAAGAGTATGCTTATTTTGTTTCACCAACTTCTCATTACTGCCCATTAAAACAAAAATGGGTCGCTACCATCCTGAGTCTTACAGCCTTCTGCTTCCAGCAGCCCCACTCTCTGTGACAGGATGGCAGAGTGATAAGCTCTTGGGGATGTGATCCTTGGTCTGTTTCTGAGTGTGTGAATTATTAGTGGAAAGGACCCAGCCGCAATCAGACCTCCACTGTGTGCCCAGCTGAAGAACATGTTAATTCTGCAATATGTCTCTTGGTTAAACATTGCACAGTTCTTACCTCATTTCTGTAAATAAAGTTTGTGAATCTGTTTTGTAATGTGAAAAATTCATAAGATAACATTGATATTTTGATTTGTAATATTTCTAATTGGTAGATTTAATTGAAAAGTAAAATTAATTTATTTTTATATGTTCAGGGGAATTTTAAAGAAAGTTAAACCTTTTGTAGATAATTTAAAGAATCAGTGTGGTTTATTTTACTATTTAACCCACTGGTTGTTATTCTGTAACAATTTGTATAAATGGTAAATTTTGAATGTGTTATTTTACCTAGATGTAAAATTCCACATGTATTAAAATGTACAAAGTTTTGTTAATAAAATTTAATGATGTTTATAGCTCTGTGCATTCTTGTTTGGAGGGGGCTGTCCTAAGGATCACAGGACCACATCCATTCAGTTCTCCCAGCTGTGTGGGTTTTGTGTTTTGTTTGGAGCAATACAATGTCATCTTGGAGTTGTCTAAACTTTCCAGGAGTAGACCCTGAAGAACAGTGCTTGGGGCAAGTCACTTGTGTCCAAAAGTGCCAGATAATCAGTGACAGGAGTTGCACGTATTAGCACACAGTTAAGAGAAAGGAGAACCAACTCCACACGACATCTTTAATTACAGCACATTAAAAAAATGGCGTGCAGAGTAAATTCTCTTGTTCCATACTTAGATTTAACTAAGAGCACTCCCTAAAAGAGAATACAGAGCTTTTAAGGTCCTTTACTCCAGACTTAATTGAATCAGAACACACTGGTCCAAGTCTTTTGCTCTTGGTAATTAAGAGTTGACTGCCCCCCCCCCCCCCCCGCCAAAAAAAAAAAACAACTGGTTCTAGGCTGTCTAATTTTATTGAGATAGAGGCTCATGTATTCTAGCGAACCGCAAATGTAGTTAAGGACAGCCTTGGAACTTCTGATCTTCCTGGGTGCTGGGATTACCGTCCCATGCCACCACACCTGGGTTATGTGGTGGTAGGGATAGAATCCAGGGCTTCGTGCATGCTCAGCAAGTACTTTAGCAACTGAGCCACATTCTCAGCCCTACATTCTTTGTCAAGGAGTGAATTTTAGGTTCATGGAAAGAGACAAATGAAAAATTGAATTTAGAAAGTCCTTTTTCCGGGCTGGAGAGATGGTTCAGCAGTTAAGAACACTGGCTGTTCTTGGAAAAGACCTGGGATCGAATCCCAGCCCCCACATGGGAGCTAACAACTGTCCGTAACTCCAGTTCCAGGGATCTGACAGCCTCTCTGTCCTCCACGGGCATTGCACAACATGGGTGCACTTACCTCCACACAGGCAAAATATGCACACAAAAAATAAAAATAATAAAATAGCCAGGCGTGGTGGTGCACGCCTTTAATCCCAGCACTTGGGAGGCAGAGGCAGGCGGATCTTTATGAGTTCAAGGCCAGCCTGGTCTACATAGTTCCAGGACAGCTGGGGCTACAGGGAGACCCTGTCTCAAAAAGACAAAAAAAAAAAAGACCTTTTTCCTTAGCCCAGTGTGGTGGCTTACATGCGCACTCCTGGTCCCAGCACCTGGGAGCCCAGTCAGAAGTGAATAAGAGCACTCACTGGTTGCTTTTGCGGAAGACCTAGCTCAGTTCCCACCACCCATGTGGTGATTCCAGGTCCAGGGGACCCAGCATCTCTTCTAGACCCAGTACTGCACATTGCGTGCACAGGCTGAACATGCAGACAGGCAGGCACACACACACAGGTTTTTTTTTTTTCCTCTCTTTCCTGCAGTTAAGATTTTGTATACACAGAACTTTGTAGCCTGCTTTTCTCTTGTCGCTTAACATAGCAAAGGTTTTAGATTTTAGAAATTGAACTTTGTGTCCTTTGCTTAATCTCCTGGACAACCTGTGCAGCTCCCCAGCACAGTGGACACCTGTGCTGGTGCTCCAGAAGCTGTTCTCTTTTATGTGGGAGCCTGTGGGGTTGGGAGGAGGAGGACAGGATGAGTGGAAAGTAGGTGGGCAGAGGGCCTGCAGCACAGGCATCCGGCAGCCTGGGGTGGGAAAGCCCAGTGGGAAGGCAGGAAAGAGGCTCGACCACATCTGCAGTCAGCAGCTGGAGAGAGTTGGCAAGGTGGAGGCGAGGTCCTGGGGACAGGCAGAATGGGAGGTCAGAAAAACTGGGTCCCATATGAAACACATCAAGTACTCCCTCTTCACTGACCTGGTTGCTGGAAACTCAGCTCCCGGGAGCAGCTGGAAATGGATTGAGCTGTGTAATCCAGTTTGAGTCACAATTCTTGACACTGCCTGACTTCCTTCAGGCTACTTTGTGAGACTTTGAGAAGCTGCCCACCCTGTCATTCACTAAGGCCCATGAGCCCCTTCCTCTAATCTTCACATAGCCGGGTTTTGTTTTCCCCATTTTACGGATTAGAGAATTGACGTGTAGAGTTTTGTTGCATATGGCCAAAATGTGAATTGGTATGAGAACCAAGAATTGTCTGAGGCAGGCAAGCACCCTGCCCTCCCCTGATCTTCTGTGGAGCTGCTGAGGGTGAGGTAAACCCTGAATGGAGCCAGTATGGCATTGGAGGGCTGCTGGTGTTAAGCCCCTAGCAGAGATCTCGCCTCTGCAGCAAATTCAAGCCACCCTGTTCTCCAGTGTGCCCACCTCGGTGACCCTGTGCCCTGCTCAGGCCCCACTGGGAACTGGGGTGTGGCTGCAGTGGACCTTGGTCCTTCCCTCATTAGTTCAAGCCTTAGCCCTGCCTGATACCAGGCAGAAATGTGGGAACCATGCAGGCCTTGGCCCTCTGCCCAGGTACCACAGGGCATGGTCACCAAACAGAACCAAGACTTGGCAATACAGAGGAAGGAGAGAGACCAGAGCTAGTAAGGAACGCGGGCGGGACTGGGAATTGGACTGGATTGAAGAATTGAGGGGAGATTATGGTAGGACCAGTGACCAGCGAGTCAGTCACTTAGGATAATGACCCTTGAGAAGCACAGGCCAGGAGATGCAGGTGCTGTCTTAACCAGCAGAGAGGCCATCAGGGGAGAGGAATTAGTACACCATTTACCTGACTCTGGGCTAGACCCACACATCACCTTGTTTGGCTGCTCTGTTGGAGAGACTTCCAGAGTCCCTACCACAGAGGGGAGCAGTAAGGTGTAGTTAGTGTCAGAAGCACATGGTGCCTCGGGAGGAGGGTATGCTTCTGGAAGTGTTCAGAGCCAGCAGCCGTACAACGGAACCTCAGTCTCATGAGACTAATGCCAGGGGAAGGCCACTGAAGTCATTGCAGTTGGGGAATTGGAGGGGGAGGGAGAGACCACGGGGACATCAGATTTCAAAAGCAGGAAGAAAGGCCTGGAACTCACTTTGGAGACCAGGCCTGCCTCTGCCTCCAAGTACTGGGATTAAAGGAGTGCACCACCACGCCCGGCCTGGGTGGTTTCTCTTTTTAAGCTCACGGGCTCATCTATGCCTGATTGCTCTTGAACTCACTGTGGTGACCTACCTGAACTGAATGCTAGAAATTGAACCCAGGACTTCCTGCATGCTAGGAAAGCAGCCTACCAACTCATCCACATCCCCTGCCCAGGATCTAGGAGTGTACATCTACTTTTCCCTAAAAAGTCTGCAGAAAATCAAAATGCTATGCTAGAGCATACTTGGGCATATGATGATGTGAGCAGGAGTTGTGTGGAGGTGGACAGCAGGAGATGGACAAGATACCAAAAAGTGTCCAGTAACAAAGGGGAGACCATATCCATGAGCACTTGATGGAACAGCAGAGTTGCACAAAACCAGTGTCAGTTTAGCCTCCTTTAACAAAATGTCACAGGCAGTGGCTCAAACAAGCAAAACTTAACCCTGTCCTGAAGTTGGGGAGACTGAAGCCAGCATACATCAGGGTCAGGCAGGCCCTCTGGCAGCTGCAGACATGGTCTTTTGTCCTCACGCAGGAGGGAGAGGACAGCGGGCTTTCTGGCCTCTTGGAAAAGCACTAGAGCTTTTGTCTGTGGGATGTATATTCTTGTCACTCACTCTGGCTCTCAGGTCTCCTGCAGCTAGCAGCCAGGGGCCTTCCTCAGTCCAGCTCTTCCACGCAGAGGCATCTGGTTTCCCTGCAGTATCACTCCCATTTGGCAAACAATAGAATCCACTACCAGGCACCCTGTCCAGCACCTGGGTGGGCCTCGGAGGGATGAACCAACCTGGCCTGATGTCCTCCATCTTCTCCCAATCCCTCCTCCTCACTGGGAAAAGGAACATGGAGCCCCAGAGCCTCCTCTCCTGCCAGGTTTGGGGTTCTTCCCAGTGTAAACCTGTGACTTTTGGAAGCAAGGTCCAAAGAAAGCCCAGGAACAAGGTACAGCAAACGCTTGAGCTGCCTGGTGAAAACGGTTTCCATAGTGACTGCCAGGTTGGCCTGGTGGAGCCCCCAGTCCTATTGGGTAGTGGCATCCTGGTGGGAAGAAAGGGCATGGCTCCTTCTGGAAGGTCACTAGGGAGTCAGACTAGGCACAGAAAGGGCCTGGCCCTCAACAGCACAGCTGTGCTCCACACCCCCAGAGCCTGGGGTCAAACTACTCACAACTGATTTGCTCTACCACACCAAATGCTGGAGGTTGGGGGTGGGATCAGGGCCAGGACTGGACTGTCTCTCCCTGATCCTCCCCCACCTGTTCAGTGCTGCTTAAGGCCAGGTTGGGCAGCCCAGTCCTCTACAGAGCTTTGCTCCCACAGAAAGTAACACCCCTGAGCCTCCTACAGCTCTCCAGCAACAAGAGCAGGCTCCCTGGCATGCCATGTGGAGGTGGGTTGTGGAACCACAGGGGCTGTGAATATGACCGGATTCTAAGCAGAAGTGAGCTAAGCTCACACACTGCCTGCACCCTGGCACTGTATCCATCCTACTCCAGTCCTGAATCTGTTCCTTTCCTACTGAGGACTGCGGTAGGCCTGTGATTAATGAATTACTTTGTATCTATCTATTAACTTATACATGATTTAACTCTATCTCCCTATGTCTGTCTATCCATCCATCTTTAGGAACCACAGGCCTTTCCCATGGCAGGCAAGTGCTCTAGCATCTACCATTGAAGCATAGACAGGTCCCAACTCTAAGTATTGTGTTTGTATTTTATGTGTATGTGTGTATTGCCTACATGTATGTAAGTGTACTCCTGTTGAGCAATGCCCTCAGAGATCAGGAGGTCAGAAGAAGGTCTAGAACTGGAGTTATAGATTATTGTTAGACACACCATGTGGGTGTTGGGAATTGAACCTGGGTCCTCTGCAAGAGGAGGGCAGTGCTCTCTGAGCCATCTCTCCACACCCCCTCCAATTCTACTTTTATTTTTTAAATATTTTAT